TTTGGCGTATCTAATGAAGTAACTCAATCATTGGTGGGAGCCTATCAGGAAGACCCTGTCACGATGGACATCATCCGCGAACTTCAGGCAAAAGACAAGGTCACAGAAAGTAAGTTTGTGATGGTGGACGGGCTACTCTATCTTGATAAGGTCGGAATAAAGAGATTGGTAGTTCCATCTAGTGAACAGTTGCGTAGTTTATTTGTAGGCGGATGTCATGACGCAACATGGCACTTTGGCTACAAGAAGACATGTGCTAACTTAGTACAGCGATTTTGGTGGCCCAAGATGCTAGATGACGCAAAGAAGTATGTTGAGACCTGTCAGGTCTGTCAGCGGGTCAAGCCGCGAACTCAAGCACCGCTTGGGTTGTTGAAGCCTTTACCTATTCCTAATGGTCCAAGATTGAGTGTTTCCATGGATTTCATGGACACCCTAGTGACCAGCAAGAGTGGTAAGAGGCACACTTTCGTCATCATTGATCGATTCACCAAGTACGCTAGACTAGTACCAATGCCAGAGACAGCCAGGACAGAATACGTCATCAAGTTGTTCAAGGACAACTGGGTAAGGGACTTTGGTTTACCAAAGACCATCATTAGTGACCGAGACGTCCGATTTACACGTGAGTTGTAGAAGAAGACTGCGGAACAGATGGGCAGTCAACTTCAGATGACTTCCGGGAATCATCCCGAAGCCAATGGACAGGCCGAACAAATGAATAGAGTTGTACAACACTTGCTGAGGCATTACATCAAGCCCAACCAGGACGACTGGGATGAGCAGTTACCTCTCATCGCCAGCCTGTTCAACAATGCTATACATAGCAGTACCGGCGTTAGTCCTAACCAGCTGCACTTAGGATGGAAGCCTAGATCAGCACTAGACTTCCTCCTACCTGAAAACCGACCTACTGCAACTCTAGGCACACTTGAATACGGTGTGCAATATGAGAAGTTGCTGCAAGAGGCTGTTGAACATATGAAGAAGGCTCAGCAAACCATGATTGCTTCTGAGAATCAACATCGCAGACAATCCACATTTCAGGTAGGGGAACGTGTCTGGGTCAAGGCTAGTGAGTTAGGACAGGAGTTCGGAATATCTCGCAAACTAATGCCTCAGTACTTTGGTCCCTGGGAGGTCTTGGATGTAGTGGGAGATGAGTTGGATGGTCCCACATATGTCATTCGTGTCCCTGGACACCTGCGCACTCACCCAGTCTTTCATGCCTCAAAGCTTGCACCTTTCTCTGAGACTGATCAATTCCCTTCCAGGAGACCGATGCTGCCGCCAACCATGGATGGACAAGTCGACATCGACGACATTGTGGATCACAGGGATATGCCTGTTCAGAAGCCGCTGGGTAGAGGAAGACCTCTTAAACCCAGGAGAGAGTACCGGATCAGATTCAGGCATCATACGGATCCGAAAGAAGATCGGTGGTTTACCCGGGAGGAACTGATGGAAACAACTCCTCAGGTGGTGGCAGATTATGAACGGAAGCTAAAAGGGAAGGCACCTGCGAAGTAACCATCTCAGCGGACTTTCGAAGCTAAGGGGGATGGAATGTGAGGAATGAGCCCTCAAGAAGGGGCCTTGCCATGATGTACATGTTCTGGGCTAAGGCCCCAGCAAGCCTCGTGCCCGCCCTAAGTGAAGGCGGGCCAGCAAATCAACAATAGCCCTCTGTGCATACATTTCACGAAGTGGGGTCCTTACAGNGTCTTGGTCACACAGCCCAGCGCAGACCAACTCAGGTCTGCGTTGCCTGGGGCTGAGTTCTGGGCCCCAGGCTACTTCTGAACAGGGTTACTGCAAATCCATCTCCAAGGAAGAAGCACATGCCTTCCTGGTATGGGAACCTGTCAGCATAACTGTGGATAATTAATTAAAGGCAGCTAACAACACAACAATACAGTCACAAGCACGTGTTCTCCTTCCTGTAGTCCTTTCTGCTGGATTGTGTGTGTGTTTTTTTTTTTTGGACTTGATGATGAGCTGACGGCTTCCATTCAAAGGCAAAATTGCGGCACAAAGTTTTCTGCTGGATTGTCTAAATTAGTGAATTCCACTAACGCACAGAGGATCTGTCAGACATTCATGATCTCCATTGAGAGCTGGAAGTTCAAGCGCTGAACAGAGCACCCAATCAGCTCTGACAGCTTCACCATGGAAGCTTTCCTACCTACCACAGTCATGGGGCCTCGCTCCACTAGTGTGAGGAATGAGCCCTCAAGAAGGAGCCTTGCCATGATGTACATGTTCTGGGCTAAGACCCCAGCAAGCCTCGTGCCCGCCCTAAGTGAAGGCGGGCCAGCAAATCAACAATAGCCCTCTGTGCATACATTTCACGAAGTGGGGTCCTTACAGTTGCAGCACGCCAGTAATCAACAATAGCCCTCTGTGCATACATTTCACGAAGTGGGGTCCTTACAGTTGCAGCACGCCAGTTGGTTGGAGTGCACCAAGTTTCGGATCTCAGCAAATGCTGAAATGCCCAGGGCCTCTGAGTTAGTTAGGCCCTGGGCTCCTGAACATGAGGCCGACAATGCACGCTGGGTATAGAGGCCGAAAATGCAAAGGACACCGGCCCACTGTCTGAATCTGGCCACAGGCCTTGACGAGAGAGGCACAACTGCATCTCCCGGGCCCCAGCTGTAATGGGCCTGGGTTCAGCCACTGGGGCCCTGTTGCAGGCTGAAGGGAGGCCGCCCACACGCAGCACTGGCATATAGGCAAGCAGGGCGAGTGGGCTGGGATCTTGGCCATTGCGGGCAATGTCGGCATGCTGCGCAAATGCGAGCTGCTGCTGCTGCTGCGCTGCGCTAAGAGAGGTGCGAGGCAGGCCAGCGCTAGGCGGTAGGGCGCTGCCTGCGCACCAGGGCACTGGCGGCCATAGCCGGGCCGCATGAGAGTGCAGTGAGGGTGAAGGGCGAAGGTGGTCTTCGGAGGTGAAGGGCGCTGTGTGGGTAACAAGGGAGAGTGTGGGGAAGAGGACACGTACCTGGTGATGGTGGAATACGGCATTGGTGTTGACATCATCACTCRCTGGTAGTCAAGTTGTCTGGTTGTGTTCATTGCTGTAGTTGTAGGATAGGCTGTAGAGTAGATAGGGCGCCTGGCGCCATTCACAAGAGAGAGCTACATTTGGGTTATGTTGTTGGTGTTGCCCTGTTGGGCATGGACATTGACTCACGATTCTTCTGTATCATTCTCAATTGGATGGTTACTCGGTTCCATTGTACTAATACTTGGACTTCAGTGTGATATTGCATTCTGGATTTCTGTGCTTCGTCCATACTCATGTTCCTTGCACTAGTCACAAAATGTGCAAAATCCGAATGAATCTTCCATTGGAACATGTGGAGATACGACGCCATACTTTGTCTTTTATGCATGTGGTGAGTGGAGTGAGGCCCATGAGCACATGTTCTCCTTTCGTGTTTACCTTTCCACCGACTTGTCTAAATTCCACTGATGTACACAGGACCCGTCTTTAATCAAATTAATTTTCAGCTTAATGACACGTCCTTGGGAACATCCGTTAAAATTGGAATGATACAGAGAAGGAAGATTAGCATTGTCCCTACGCAAGTATGATGTGCACAACTCGAGACATGATCCAAATTAAGGGAAAAAAAAGACATTCATGGACGCCACTGAGAGCTGGAAGTTGTCAAGGTCTGAACAACGCACCAGCGCAGCTCTGACAGCTTGTTGAACTGGCCCACAGCTCTTAAGGTCATGCTGGCACTTGTTATTTTTTGACAATACGGCAACAATTCCTGTTCGATGCGTGCGGAAAACAATAGAAAGACTGCCGGGCCTAGCTCAGTTGGTACACCCATGAACTGCTGCATACAGATAACTCTGAATCCTTTCACATGAACAGAACATAATCACTGAATTACCTGGGACAGGTCAGTACAACGATGATATCTTAACGCCGTCACCCTTTCAAAAACAAGAGTAGGAGAGGAGAAGAGAAAAAACTTCAAAAAAGGAAGAAAAAGGGAAGAAAAAAGGACGAAGGAAAAGAGAGAAATAATAGAAAGTAAGTATGCCCTTATCTGTTCTTCTCTCAAAGGTGGTCGTTTTGAACAAACAAACCTGCTGTTGCAAAGCCTCCTTTTGGTGCTCCTCCAGTTCCTTCCTCTCTTTGATGGCATCAAGCTTGTCTTTGATGAGATCATCGATCTTTATCGTGTACTCTCGTAGATACTGAATTCACAGTAAGAAAAGCCAAAACATGTATCCACAACAACAGTGAAAAAAACTGAAAAAGTAGCGATAGAGAAAAGACAAAAAGCCAAGCATGGCATAAACACAGAGGAGATTAAAAAAGAAAGATGCACAACAATAGGCTCCTCACACCAGCGCACAAACACAAAACGAACAAGATTTCACAGCACTGTGAATGCCTATTCATAGTATTCCTGCATGCTACATTATGAATCGCAGTCCACTGCACTGAAGTTCTGGCGTGCGCAAAGTGCGCATGCAACCCATACCAGCCAATCACCATCAAAATGGTGACAAACGGTACCTACCTGGAGGAGGTATGGTGTTGAGCAATCCATCATCTTGTTCACCCACGATAACTCAATGGCAACATCGCAGCGAATGAGATCGTAGCATGTGTAAAGACAAGCTGCAAAGCACTCCTTCTTACCCTGCAACACGGGACACATTCGTCAAAGAAAGATTAGTCAAGCTTTGATGCCAATACAAACTTACAAAGACAGTTCATCGACAATCGCAAGAATCGACACAGTTTAAACCACAAGTACACAGGCCCAGCCTTGCAGTCCAGGCTGAAACCTCAAACGCTGGGCCTGCCATTGATAAATTTGATCAGCAGCCCTGTTTTCGTTTTGTGCCTCCAGAATTTGAGGTGTCAGACCCGCGGCCCAGATGCCAATGTACTGGTGGTTTAAAAGGAAAGAGAGATCCAAAGCTCTCCTTGCCCTGCAGGAGAACAAACACATTCTCGAAGATTTTGCGAGGCTCAGGCTCCTCGGCAGGCCTAAGGGGCCCTTACAGCAGATGTGGCCGCCCTAAGCGAAGGCGGGCCTGGCAGAGCACAAAGGCCCTCACTGTCAATTTCACATTTTGGGGTTCAGGCAGTTGTGTTGCGCCAGTTGGTTGAGGGAACATAGGGCCCGTGCTGCAAATACTTTGTTCGGCCTTCCAGGCCTTTCTGGAAATGCAGGCCCTGGGCCACAATCGCAGCAACATAAATGGGCAGTTGGAGGCATAACCGAACGGCGCCCAGCGGCTGCAGCAGCTGCCCATCCATTTTGAGTTGTGACTGACCCTAGATAGTACAGACTATAAATAGACAGCGCAAAACTCAAATCCCCAGTATCACTACTTTTTCTGTACAGAATTCCCTGAATGAACATACAGGGTGCAGCGCATTACTGTCATACAGTCCCAGAACAATTTTGAGTCAGAACAGGTCGATAGATGGTGACATATGAGTCAGGGTAGGAAGGAAGAAGATGGCTATGGCTGTCTTGCAGTCTGACAATTTTAAAACTGTGACCCTACTGACAGACAGACCATCAATTAAGAGTCTACTGATATTAAACTAATCGCTACCCAGGGATTTACACGGAACAGTGTTTGAGTCAGTGGATGATGAAGCTCAGGCTATGGCTGCCAGACCCTGGTCTCGCCACTTAAGAGGATGCCCCTGTTGTGCTCACCCTCAGTGCTCCAAGTCCAATCTCCGCTCCGATACCAACTGTTATGAACTTGGTTGTCTGACAATTTGTTTGCCACTCACACACAGAAGAACTCATACACGCCCATACATGCATGAGACAAAGGGGAGGAGGAGACAGAGTCCAACTGCACACAGACCAGAGATAGGCAGCGGAATAACAACCATGCACAGAAGGGGAGAATACACTCAGTGTTTCTCTCTCTCTGACACACTCCCAACAACCAATCACAATATGACACTGCGAAGATCACAATTGGAATATGACACAAATGATGACCCAACTCAACTCAATTAACCCAAATTATCGTTACAGAGTTCAACCCAGTGTCTCGCCACCTCAGTACCAAACACTCCACTCACTACTCCACTCCCAGAGTTTAGCGCTGCACTGAAACAGCCTCCCAGAGGCCAGCGCCATACACCCAGATGCAGATCATGAACAGCGAGGTAGTCCCCAGTGCCGATGGGTCACTCCGACGATGAAGAAGGCAGCTATGGCTGCCTGGCTGCTACCGCAGCAGCAGTACCCACATGTACCCAGTGAACGGCCCCCGATTAGTCCTGCCAGATGCAGATATCCCTAGGGGATGAATGCGCTGAGACCAGCCCCAGCTATGGCTGTCTCAGGTAGGCCGGCTATGGCTGCCTCACTCCGCTGAAGTCTCAGGTGCCGCTGTAGACCTTCAGCGATGCACAACTTCGTTGGCCCCAAACGCTGCATGCGAAAAATGAAAAGCCAAAAGTCCTGAATCGGTGTCCTCCCCCTACCTATAGACTCGCTAGTCTAACCTAGGCCTAGACCTGACTGACTGACCGACCGGTACCATTGATGTTTCAGCCTCTCGGCCTCTACCGGACCCGGCTATAGGCTATAGGACCGTCTAGCAAAATAGGCCACTGAGGGTCTGTCTGTCCTAGGGGTAGCACGGGCCTGTATTTTCCCGGATTTGCAGATCTGTCCCTCACAAATTTCCTCACAGGCAGGTCTCTCGGTTAGCCCTCAGCCAAACAAAATTACAAAAATAACTTTACGGTTAGTGTACAGCCTCGCAGTGAATCTCGATAGCAGAAATCAGAAGGTCATTGCAGGTATGCTTCCCCCACCTCGCCGCAGCCCTTGCCCATGAGCCCGAGCTCCCTCTCACCGATCTCCTTACCCGCCTTCTCCACCATGATCGCCGTCCTCACCTCCGCTCTCAACGACCAGCCGCCCCCAACCGCACCCGGTTTTTCCATAACATGGCCTCCGACGACTCGTCACTCCCCTCCGGCGACGGCTTTGATTCCTCTCCCGAGTCCCTGTTCGCCAGCCCAATTCACCGAGGAAGACTTCCAGGCTGTCCATCTCATGAGGATGGAACGGCAACACCTGGCCTCCCAGCCTTCCTCCTCCCCCCAACCCCCTCGTCTCAAAAAGCTCACCCCCGCCGAATGCGCCTTCCTCCAGGCCAACGACAGTTGTTTCCGTTGCCGCAAGCTGGGGCATCAGCAAACCAATTGCCCCAAGGCTGGCCGCTCCACTCACCAGGCTTCCCGCCCCACCAGATCCAGCCCTCCCACATCCACTTCCTCCTCCTCCACTGCGGCCTTTGGGCCCTCCTCCACTTGAACACTATCCCCCCGCCCCTTGTAGCCATGGTCCTGGCATCAACAATTCGTCTGCCGGCGATGACTTTCACACCGGACACCCCCCAGGCGTCGCAGTCTACTCCGCCTGCCCTCCTCCCGACGACGTCCTCTATTCCGTCAGTTGAGCACCCCACGACCACATGTTCCACTACCCTCCTCCCCAACCCCTCCACCATCACTTTCTCCGATCTCGTTGAGGAACAGGACCGACACACTCGGCTTGTTAGATTAGGCATCGAGCAGTGCCGCCTCAATGCCATGATCTCCTCCGCTTGTGTCGGGACCGCCCAGTTCCAGCTCAAGTTCGTCGCCGTCTCCTTTGGAGCATCGACGGTGAAGTTTCGGGCCCTTCTCGACATTGGTGCCACCGACAACTTCATCACGGATGCCTGTGTCCACAAAGCCGGCCTCTCTTCCACCGGCTATGATTCCCCGATCACTATCCCCCCCTAGGGGATAAGGACTCAACCATCGTCCTCGACCGCGCACTCGCCGAGACCACAATGACTGTCGGCCCTCTTTGCAGTCAGGTCTCCTTCAATGTCATGCACCTCATGTGCGACATCATACTCGGGACTCCTTGGCTCGACCGCTAAATGCCCTATACCTTCCACGCCTCTTTCGTCCGCCTCTCCACCCCTCCCGATCCACCCCTTGACATCTCCTGCCTTCTCCCTCCCTCCACCCCTTCCCCTGTCTCTCCTCACCAATTTCTTCACATGACCCGTGAGCACCCCGACTCCGCCTACTATTGCCTTGTCATTGACCATGACCGTCCTGAGTGGACAAACCCGACCAAGACCCCCCCTCCGACCCCCAGATCTCCGCCCTCCTATCCGAATTCAAAGATGTGTTTCCCGAATCCTTGCCCGTCAGACTACCTCCCGACCGAGGTGTTTCCCACACCATCGATCTCGAGCCCGACCACTCCCCCCCCTGCCGCCCCCCATACCAGCTCTCCGCCCCCAAGGCCGAAGAAATGAAGCGCCAACTCAATACACTCCTTGAAAAAGGATTCATTAAGCCTAGCTCCTCCCCCTTCGGCACCAGCTGTCTCTTCGTCAAGAAGAACGGCACCTCGAAACTCCGCATGTGCACAGACTACCGCGCCTTGAACTGGATCACGATCAAGAACAAGTATCCGCTTCCCCGGATATCCGAACTTCTTAATCGCCTCAGTGGAGCCAAATACTTCACCAAGATCGACCTCCGCAGTGGCTTCCACCAGATCCGCATCCACGAGGAGGACACCAATGAAACCGCCTTCCGCTCCCGCTTCGGGCACTACGAGTTTCTCGTAATGCCTTTCGGTCTCACCAACGCCCCCCCCACATTCCAATCCACCATGAACCACATCTTCCTCGACCTCCTCGAAGTCTGTGTCGTGATCTACCTCGACGACATCCTTGTTTTTAGCCCCACCTTCGAGTCCCACCTTGATCATCTCCGCCAAGTTCTCGCCATCCTCCGCGACCAGAAATTCTACGTCAAGCTTAGCAAATGCACATTTGCTGCCTCTAGCGTAGAATACCTTGGTCACTTTGTCTCCACCGACGGCATCCGCATGGACCCCAAAAAGGTCTCTGCCCTCGTCGAGTTCGCTCCTTCACGGGACTCGCCAACTACTACCCCCCCTTCATCCGCAACTTCTCCGACGTTTCCTACCCTCTCCATGAACTCACCCGTGCCACCGAACCCTTGGCTTGGACAGACCGCCGCCAAGCCGCCTTCGACAAACTCAAGGAGCTTATCACCACTGCCCCTGTCATCAAAATCGCCAACCCCATTCGCCACTACTTCGTCACCACGGATGCGTCCGGCTTTGCCATCGGGGCCGTCTTATCCCAACACTTTCACCCCGACCCCGCGGAAACCCCCTCCATCAAGGATTCCCCCACTCACTCCCAATGCCCACCCGGCGAGCACCACATCGCATTCGCCAGCAAGAAACTCCTTCCGGCAGAAATGAACTACCCATCCAAAGAGAAGGAGCTCCTCGCCGTGGTCTACGCCCTCAAAGTCTAGCGCCTGTACCTCGACGGGCAATACTTCACCATCCGTACCGAAAACACCGTCGTCTCCTCCATCTTGACCGAGAAAGACATCACCCCTCGCCAAGCCCACTGGATAGACTTCCTTGCCCAATTTACCTTTACCATTTGTCACACCCCTGGCAAGAGCAACCGCGTTGCTGATGCCCTCTCCCGCCGCCCCGATCACAACCCCCCCGAGAAAGTATATGTCGTCATGACCCACATCCAGCTCCTGCCATCGCTCCGCCATCGCTACACCCAAGGATACCTCTCTTGCCCC